CCAACAGCAAATGAAACTGTCAGGAAAATTTAGATGCAATAAAATTGGGTGGTTAAACCAACATGCTGGATTCGGAATAAAACTGAATTAAAGGAATTAAAATTAAGCATTATGTCAGTCAAACTTTATAAAAACTATTTGAAATGGTGGGGGAGAGATGTTGGGGTGGGGGTTTTTTTGCAAAAGTTAGGTTTTGGACTTGGTGAGGTCCACTCATAACAACCAATTTTATGTGCATCAACAGTGTCACATTTGAAATTTGCGCAACGAAAAATATTTTGCATAAAATGTGTTGCTTCTGGCAACATTTCTGCCTAAATAAAAAGTTGTCAGGCAGTGTGTGACTTTAGTGGTACAGAGTTTTAAAATGGTGGCTTCAGTCCAAGGCTAGCTAATAATGGCTGACATGCACTGGAATCTTGAGGCCTAAATCAACATTGTTTTCACAGCTGTAATTAAGCCACCTAATCAGAAGCACATTTTGACGGGACAGTTTCTGGAAGCCATACATTACAATTTCTTATGCCTGGAGCGCAGTGGATCATGAGAGGTCCTCATTTAATTTCAGGTTAGAAAAAAAAAAGGCTGTAAAATGAAAAGAGTATAAAAAAAAGCAGTGTATGGCTGTTGAAATGAAGCAGGCCTATGTGTTCATGCCTTGACCAACTCTGCATCCCACCCTCCTCCGGCTCTCTGCCGAGTCCCCAGCTCTCAAGTGGCAGCTGCACACAGTGAGATTAAGGGCTTCTGCCAAAGTCAACAGATGAGCTGGTCTGAACTGGCTCTCTGTGTGTTCTGATTGTAAATTGTGCTGGTGATGATTAGAGAACTCTAACACAGGATGTCGAGTCTTAAACTGTCCAGAGAAAATATTTTTTTTTTTTTTAAGTTCAGGAAATTTTTTTAAACTTCTTTTGTGGCTTGGTACATAGTGTTTTGTCTATAACTTTCAGATGATTCAAACATGAATTCACACAAATCAAGTAACTATATTATTAAAAAAAATACACCATTACTTGCTCACAGCAAGATCCCCCATATGAGAATGTTTACTTAGCAGTGCTGCTGCAGAATGCAATTCTCTGACTAGTACACTCCAGCAATCTTGTGCTTCTTCCACCTGTCAAGTGGAAGACACCCCTAAAATTCAGACTATCAACTACTTTTGTTGTGTGACTCTCACTTTGGGACATTGTCATACCTCTTACAACAGCTAAACTGTCTTGCTCTTTTTCTGAAGCATAGCTACATTAGTAACTTTAACATAAACTTTCAACCCCAGAGGCCACTGTAAAACTATCAATATGAAGGCACCAGTCACTGGGGTCTGATTACATTTGGTTCTGCACTTTAATTACATGTGGATTCTATTAACTGAACCTTTTGCCTTATAGGCAACATTTCAATCAAATTACTGTAATTTTCAAATATGTTACAACAGTCTGACAAGTTTAAAGTTCACATACCTAGAATATTGAGTATCAAGAAATTTTTGCATAGAGAAGGAAGTATTCTTTACAAAACAGCAAATGTGATGTTGGATTACTGTAACTGGTTTTGAACACCTTGCCTTAAGTTACATAATGTGATTTATAATATCGGTTTCATATTATTATTATTTTAAACTACATGATTTATACTCTTTGGTTACAACTATTACTTGTGTAAGCAACATCACATGACCAGGTGAGCATTTGCGTTGTGGTATCTGCATTCCTTGGCTATGCAGTAAGGCTGGCAAGTGATGCCCAACTGCTTAAAATCAGGTAAGAAATGCAAATATTTCAGTAAAAACATAATTTCTAGGAGATATTACTCTTTAGTGGATTCAATCTTATAGAGACTTCAAGCTTATTAACTCCCATGAATAGTGTTTTCTATTTTTGCCCATCTGATATCTCCATACCTTCATGTCTGCGACCATCTCAATAATTGAGAAATTTTCCTTGTCAGAATTTTCTTTACTTACTATCACTTTAGGAACATTCATATGTTTCACAGCACTTAAACCACACACTGGCATTTAACAGTACTGACCAAAAGTTACTATTATTTGAGGTCCATATTTACTGAAGTCTGTCCTAGACTATTTCCAGGAAATCCCATCAAGAAAGAGGGTAACAATAAAAATAACAAGTCCGATGACTTTTTGCAAGGCAAGTTAAGAATAAGCATCTCCAAATCTTTCACAAAACAAGTTTAACTGTGCATAAGGCTAGCAAGAGGTAGTGAAAAAGCCAAGGAGAGTTTTCATCAAGGACCTATCTGCTTCTTGCAACATCTGGGAAGAATTCTTCCAGCTACATAAGAGATATGGCTCTGGCCCATGAAAGACACCCTCTGATATTTAACACAACACCGATGGAGTGAGTGCCTTTCTCCTATGCAGAAAGTGGAAAAGCAAATGTTTTCTTTCTCTCCAGTTCCATCCTCATAATTCTAACTTTAGGACAATGTATCCCTGTTAGATGCAGATCTTAGCCTTAAAATACAGATGAATTGGTGACACAGAAACAAATTGCACGGGGGAAAAACAATGCCACTGCATCCACGCACTGCAACACTGTGCTTGCAGCAACAAAGCCTTGGACAGCATGGATTCACATGCTTGCCATCTGACTAAATATGATGACACATGTTGCCCCACAGCACCCCCAAAATAATTGCTTATGACTGTACTACTGCACAATAGAGCACTTAAAAGCTCTCAGTTCAAGGTCTACTTATTATTGCACCTCTGAATGAATGTACAAGTACAGTAATAAACTAATGTATTTGAAGAAGAATTAAAATGAATAAAAGCAGCAGAATTCAGTACTGGTAAGAATTCAGAACTGTCAAGTGTTCATTTAACAGGGAACCTTGAAGCATAGTCCATTCATAGTGTTCATATTACTGGATGCTGCTGAACAAGAAGTAGGCAGGAAGACCATTACAAAATGTTAATAGTTGTATAACAGAAAAAAAAAAAAAGACATTTTAGAAATGTAAGGAAAATTTCAGAAGAACTTGGTAAAGAAAAAAAAACAAACAGAAGTTTAAAAAAAAAATGGCAACCAGAAACCCCCCAACCAACAGAAGAGAGATACAGGAATAGAGAGGAGAGGGGAGGGGAGGGGAGGGGAGGGGAGGAGACTGTCTAATTTTGAAACCAAATAGATACTCAAGAAGTCATCACTCCCTTTCATTTAAAGTAAGAAAAAAAAAATCTGTTCTATTTTAATACAGAAATTTAGTGCATAACTTCTTCCCCAAAATCAGAACAGAACAGTACCAACTGAAATATTAAAATGTAAGTCACTCCACAAAGCTGTGATAGTTGAAGTTATTAAAAGTGTCATGCTTAATACAACTTTTACAAATATTAGGGAAAAGCTTTACAGAAACCCCAAATATACAAAATACAGCATAATCACTTATATTTTTTTTTTTCATAGCAACCTGAGACTTTCATTCTGAGGTTTTTTTGCCTTTATATTAAAATTTTAAAACACTTCCTACTAATGCTTATGCTTACATTCAGATTAAATGGCATCTAAAGGAAGAACTATTGTTCTCCCAGAGGGCCAATATATCCCTTCAACACATATAGTATCATCTTTACATGGACACTCCAGGCAGACACAAATTACTTAAAAAGCACTGCCTTGAATCACAAGCTTTGGAGAGCTAGGGAAGGCAAGGCGTTTGTTTTCATTGTAACATAACAAGCAGCTGGATAGTCCTTCATAGACAGGACTAGCAACATCTTTGCTAAAAGCTCTCTCAATCCAAACAAAAGCAAACCTTGCTGCAAGTTCTGCAGACTTCCCAATCTTAGTACACAAGTGGTCATCTTGATTTAACAACAAAAACAATCATAATAGGCAAAGGAGAAGCCCAAAATTACACTGGCCACAAGCTCAGCAGGACACATATAAACCTAATAGAAAACATCAAAAGAGTCCAAGTTTTCATTCAATAATTATCACCTCAAGATGTTAAAACTGAAATTCAGCACTGATTAATATAGTTTCTATTCACAATAATTTCCCAGCTGTTAGAAGTAGGATAAGAAATTAATATAATTCTGTAGAAGACAACCAAAGCCACAGTCACAGCCTTTGAACATACATTTTCCAGTGTGTTTATGACATTTGCTTTAGTGACAGCTCTCTTTCTACAGATCTTCTGTTTCAAAACCAAAGACAATCCTCATTTTCTTTATGGTCCTTTGCTACACAAGACTAAAAGAAAAAAAAAGAAGAGAAGGACAACAACAGCAACCAAAAAAACTCCAAAGCTTTCTCCTTTGTCCTCTGTAAAAAAGTAAGAAAAAAATGGAGGACAAATACATCAAGTGTATGTCAGTTGCACATCCTACACAGTCTCATTCTAGAGATACTTGGCTACATGTTTATAACAGTTTATGTGTCTGGCCTCCTGCCTCTGTGAGACAAGTATATCTGTATTCAATAATTCCCCTAGAGAAAGATCTCAGATCTGAAGAATCACCTTATTAGCCTTAAACAAATCCAAGTACCTTTGTGGGCAACAATATTTTTAGACCAGAAATTATTTCTGAAATTGGATTTTAACCTTTGTAACTTTTGTGAGAAGCATTAAAATCCAAATCTCCTAATAAACATTTTGTTTATGTGAACAGCTAATAACATTCTGTTTTAACATGCTACATTCCTAAATGGTGAAATTCTTCAGATCCAAAGTTCAACTATTTACTGTACTGCCAAAACTAAAGAAATCACAATGTATACTTTTCCAGCAACAGCAGCAATGAACAGGTCCTTGTAGAAGATACAGTAGTAAAATTAATCCCTCTGTTAACTAGTATCATCCCCTTCTCTTCTGAAAAAAAATTCAGTTGACACTAATTTTATTGTTCTAATATGTTTATAGATAAATACTATTGTATTTCCCTACAGAAACTATACAGCATGAAGAGAAATGCTGGCTAAGAAACCACATCCAAATGACAAAATTTTCTTGAAAAGCAGACTTACCATTTGTAAGGTCACTTTCATGAAGACGTGCTGTTTGGAGCCTGGACTTTAGAGCTGCAATGTGAAGCTGTAGAGATTCTGTTTCTCTCACTAATGTTTCAACTCTGGAAACTGCAAGTTGGTAGAGTTCCATGAAACTTTGAATCATGGCCTTTAGAAAGTAAAATAAATCATCAGTGCCAGGCAAGCTATACTTAAATGCCAAAAGCATACATCCAAATTCATAGAGAAGACCTAATTTTTTTTAATTGGAGAAATGAAACAAAAGTTCTGAGCCAGGCAAAACTTCAGTCTCAGGAATTAAACAAAGGTCTAACATGGTATTCCTTCTAAAATCTGAAATATTAATAGCATTGAGGAAAAGCAAATGACAGTGCATCCCAATTAGAAGGTGTTTTGATAAACTGTTTTCAGTCATGCAGTCCTGCATTGAAGAGTTGATACTGTTTTCCATTTCATTTAACTGCAAGACTCAGTGTGTGTTCGATTTGTTTACAAAGAATCACTACACAATTTCAGGTAAATTTTCATGCTTTCAGAATGAGTCCTTCCACTTCATGTTAAGAAAATTAATTTGGCAGAAACAAAAGAAACATGGTAAACCTACAGACCTCTGAAGGTAAATAATCTCATTACAGTACAGCTGGGAAAATATATTGTTTTCATGCATATAGTGGAAAAATGTCCCAATCCTGTAATATTGATCAGAATGATAATACAGTTAGCAGCACAAGAGAGTACAAATGATTTGACACTACTGGTAACTTTATATCTACCCTAAATAGTCTAACACCGTTCAGATTATTGGTCTTCTTTACAACTGGTTAATCACATTTCATAAGCTCAGTTTTCCCCTTTGAAATGACCTGTGGTGAGTTCTACTGTAAGAACATATTACAGATAATATGAAATAGACTTTTGGAATATAAGACCGTGGTATAGACAAAAATAAACTTAGTACCACAAACAGGCACGCACAAAGATTTTTACTGTTTTCCTTTCTTTATTCTTAAACACAATACTGCTTTTCAGAATAAAAGTTAACATAGCTGAAATCAATAAAGATATTTTACTGTGAAGTGTAGAAAACAGCAGTGGCAAATTAACAACATCATAATTTTTCTCATCAGAAATAATACCCAAAATGTTTTAAAATACTATGGTGCTAGTCCTAAAAGTGTACTCACGTAGCTCTGTAAGTCTGCTACTGTCAGCTCTGATCTTACTTTAAAATTTTTCATTCCACATTCAACATGACAAAAATGCTGCAGCTCTTCAAAAACAATACCAAGGAAGAATGTGGATATATCTCACACTCTATATAAAAATGTCTGAGAGTCTTCATATGGCAACTGCCCACATGTTAAAAATTAGACGCATGTTGAAATAGGTCTATGGACTGGGCCTGTAACTCATAAACAAGGTTTATACCATTGCATCATAACAAGCTGTGTCTCAAATCTCACAGAAAAAAAATCTTAGGTGTTCCTTTGATTACTTCACACATGATACTTAAAGGTGTCACTGAACTGGAATATACAGAGATGTTTCCTCACCTTCTTCCTTTTCCCAAAGCTAGTGAAGCCGCTAACCTATACAGTGTCATCCTACAGCTCCACAGCCACTCTAAGTCCATGCAGATATTTGAAATAGTGTTTTCCAATTCCTTGCTGATCTACTCAGCTATTTAATTTGTTTTCTTGTTAAATAAGTTCGGAAATTTTCAGTCTAGGAAAAATGTATTCCTGAGTTTTTATTTTCAGACACAGCAATTCTATTTTTCTAAGAGTTCTAGATTTCTTTTTAGTCCAGAAAGAAGCGACTTAGCAGCAGCTAATGATTCATTACCAATGTGGAAGGTAGCATTCATACACCCACAGGTACACACTTGTTCCAGTATATCCCAACTCCCCAGCAAAGAGCCAGGGTCAGTTTAGATTTCTCTTGCTCAGGACCAGGTTAGAGCAATCAACATTTTTGGGTCTTCCAGTGGGTGACATGGAATCCATGATAATGAGTGTGCAGAACATTTATTCTAAACGACATGGAGAAAGGTAAATACATTGGGTTTTCAGATGTGCCATTGGAAGGCACGAATGATTTTACATAACTCATGTCGGTCACAAATTGAGTGACCTATCTGCTTTATGTCATACAAAAGTTCCACTTATTAGAAAGCTTGATACACAGGGAATGGGCAGAGAACCTGGCCACTTGCAAATTACAAGATGTCACCTAATGACTAAATGCATCTCTAAAGGAGTTCAGAACTTTAATTTAGATCCCTATTTGAATATTACAGACACAAATATATCTGCACCTCTGAAAACTGTTCCATGATCAAGAAAATCAGTTGACAGAATCTCCTGGAATGCAAACCTATTTCTGTAGAAGTTTTTTCCTTTCCTGCTATGGAATGTTTTCTTTTGGTTTTAAGTATACGTACAAATAAGATGTATGTATAGCTTTTAAGAATACACAACAATAAGATGCTTCAGCAACCCTCCTGATTAATTTTTATAACATAAAATTTGACATTCATACACATCTGCACGATCTGGATTTTAGCAAGCACTTCTGCTTTTGAATGTGTTCGCAATACTATGACATGCAAACAGGGAACAGAACATAAAACAATAAAAAATAGTCTTCAGTTACAAATGAAAATATTTCAAAAATAGACACCAGAAAATTAATTCTGTTCAGAAAGGCCAGAGGTAGTGATCCCCACACATTATAGGAACCAGTATTATTGCAACTCAGACTACTTCAAAAGTTAAACATTTTCAGACAGACAAGTATTACAGGAAAGTTAGTGGGGAGAAGACTTAACCAAGGAGGCAACAAAACCAGTGGAGTTGAAGAATACTAATTTTGAACATTACTGGCTTTAAGTTCCCCTACTTGTGCAAGGGGCTGGGACCAGATGATCTCCAGAGGTTCCTTTCAATTTCAACATAATTCAGTGATTAAAAGTCATCCTAAGGATGGAACATGATGCAAGTTAATAGCTGAAATTTACATAGGACTGTCAACTTTAAGACCACAAATTGTAAGCAATTACTCCACATTAATCAAAGACAAAAAGAGGAAAACAATCAGATGCTAAGTGATTTTTTCCTGTAACCTCTTTCCTTTCCTTTTACTCCACACAATGTTTTATTTTATAGAGAATATCACTAGTATTTAGCATTCTACATCATGTGCTACTGATATGGCAGAAGCAAATGGTAGGAGTGTCTTCAATGCCAAAAGTGTTTTTAATGTGAGAGGAGACCCATGCTCCAACACTAAGACAAGGCACAGGCAACCTCATGAAAACAGATGCGTGACTTCACACATAACTGGTTGCAACTCACAGGCTAAAAATACATTCATAATATTGACATGGAAAAAGGATGCTTTTATGATGAAGATGCTGGACTAGACACAGAATTTGCAAGAATGCCCAAGTTCCATTTTCAAATCTAACTGTTAATAGACAAATTATTTTAAGTCTAAGTACTTCTAAGGATCATCTTTCTTTACAGCTATTTAAACATTGAAAACAGTATCTTCATCTAGAAAATCCCTAAAAGCACTCTAACCGTCTTTAGAGCACAAAGTAAATCAGAAAATTTTGAAAAAATCAGTTAAGCGTTATTCATATCATAAAGGAAGAAAGTATTTTAAATTTTAGATCTTTATTCAACTAGAAAAAGGGTCTCCGAATATTCTGAGTGGAAAAAGGCCCTTACAACCTGTTCAAAGATGTCTCATCTGTGATATGAGGACTGCATAAAAATTTTTTGGCTTAGGCTACATGTTGGTAAAGCTGAGAAACCAAAATTGGGAGTAAAAACAAAACAAAGTGGATGCTGTTTACAAACTACAGATCTACAAAGTAGCGATATTGAAGCTATGCTTTCTTCATCCAGATTAATCTTTAAAAGGACTGAGAACACTTAAGCTTAGGACAGTTCTCCAGGGGACATTAAAACTAATTTTTTCTAACGTTCCTTCCGTGTACTTTTGAATAACCAATCATTGCCTAGTCTTGTACACCATTTCTAGAACCAGTAATTTTCGGGAGCACAGTGCTGTAGATGCTGTAAAACAGCTTTTGTGTGTATTACTGGCTCTAAATTTACAAGACTGAAAGACTCCAGTCTCCACAAGTATTTTATTTAAATGGAAAAATGGCTAATACTGACAAATTACATAACAATCTTAAAGAAATTGGAAACATGAAAAAAAGATAAATCTTTTTAAAAATTAATTTATGAAATTCAAAGGTTATTCAAACATCAGCTGTTCTCAATGAAGTTATAGTAGAAACATATGACAAGAAATACATAGATTGGCATATGCAAATTAGCAAACCTCTCATCAATGTTTTAATGTATTTATTATACATTATAAAAATGGCCTTTTAAATTCCAAATTAAAAGAATGTAGATGTTGTCCTCCGTGTCTCACTATGGAGAACACAGTTAAAAATTAAATTATTTGGATTATGAGTTACAAGTGGTAGAGAATAAAAATTTCCATTTAAAGTTTTAGACTCCTCCAAAGTTACAAATAAAATACCAAGTTATTAAGAATCAGTTTCTTTATTTTTATATCCATAACTTCAACTCAGGATCTTCTTGGGCCTGCTGTTATCACAGAACCACATCTTGTCTTTGGAAGGAACAAAACTAGAGGAAGGAGACCCTATGTTGAAATGATGCTTATCAAGAGGTGTCAAAAAGACTTACATCCTGACAATATAAACATTGACTTTGTAGCATCCGATGCAGCAGTCAGAATAACAAGACCATCTACTTTACAAAAAAACCCCAAAAAAGTACAAAAAAGTTGAAATTCACATTTGACTGTTTGGTTCTCCCTTTAGGAAATTCTTCAACTAAAAACAGTGTTAGCAGGTAGTAAAATACCCCAGGCCTACATATAAAAAAAGATAAAAAAGAACGAGAGAAGGAATAACGAATGGACTTCAGACAAATAAAAGATTAACTCTAGCACAGCGAACTGCTTACATGAGAATCTGAAAAGACTGAGAATTTCATTTATGGTACAGAATTTGGCTGGAGTTCTGCATACCTGTCATTAATGCCTTGCTTCAAACTGACATAAATAAGGTTCGTTAAAATGAGTCCAGAAAACAAA